TATACTGGTGTCTTCCTTGAATCTTCTCCTTCTACCTACGGTAAATTAATATTCTTTGATTTGACCTTCTACAACCTTTAATATGTTTTGCTGAAGTTCTATATAAGTAGCTAGAATGCTTTTGAGAACCCTTCAAACATTACCAAAAAAACCTTAGTTACATGTCTACGATATTTCCCTGATACACTCTTTCATTTTGGTTCACCTTCATCTTTGATTTTATTTTTCATCACTTTCAAAATGAAGATTCTGGGTGCAGGGTCCCTTCATCTTATCTATGCACTCCTGGTTTTACTACATATGCAAACTTCAATTGGATCCAATTCAACAACAGCTGATGATGGAGTTAAGTGCATAGAGAGCGAAAGACAATCTCTTCTCGCATTTAAGCAAGTTCTGGTTGATGAAAATGGATGGCTTTCCTCATGGGGCAGTGAAGAAGAGAAAAAGAATTGCTGTGAATGGGAAGGAGTTCAATGTAGCAACACAACTGGGCACATCACTATGCTTAATCTAAGCAAATATTCGTATGATCATCATTTTGTCTTGAGAGGTAACCTTAGTCCTTCTCTATTTGAGTTGCATCACTTAATTTATTTAGACCTCAGTGGGAATAATTTCAACTTAAGCCACATTCCAGAGTCTATTGGTTCACTCAACAAAATACAACATCTTGATCTCTATCATTGTAATCTAAGTGGATCTCTTCCTAGTCAGCTTGCAAACCTCACAAGTCTGCAATATCTTGATCTTAGCTATAATAACTTCAACAGTGTCAAAAATCTTGAGTGGCTTTCTCGTCTTTCTTACTTGCAATACCTTGATCTGAGTCAAATCGACCTTAGTAAGGTCAACAATGACTGGCTGCAGGTAATTAATAAGCTTCCTCATCTAACTAACCTGTCTCTAAATAGATGTAATCTTCGAGATGTCATTCCCCAGTATTTCCCCATAATTAATTCTTCTAGTACTTCTCTCGTTCACCTTGGTCTAAGTGGCAACAATTTGACTGCTTCTGCATTCCAATGGTTGTTCAACCTTAGCAACAGCCTTGTTAGTCTCTACTTGAGTTCTAATCAATTTCGAGGTCCAATTCCAGAAACTTTTAGTCACATGACTCTCCTAGAAGAGCTACTTCTCTCAAACAATCAGTTTGAAGGAGAGATTCCAAAATCCTTTTGGAGTGGTAACTTGTCATCATTGCGATACTTGGTTCTTTCAAGCAATAAACTGAGTGGTAATATACCCAAAAGTATCGGATTGCTGTCAAAGCTTGAGGTCTTGTATATTTCTTTCAATTCTTTTAATGGGGTGATCACTGAGGAACACTTCTCAACGCTATCTAATTTATTGTCCTTGGGCATGTCTTCTAATAATCTGAGCATCAACTTCAGCCGTGACTGGATTCCTCCATTCCAGTTGAAAGGTATTCAGCTAGCATCTTGCAAGTTGGGACCTGATTTTCCAAGCTGGTTACAGACCCAAAAGAACTATGTGGTTCTTAATATTTCTGCAAATGAAATTTCAGATAGCATCCCCATCTGGTTCAGTACCTTGCCTTCTACAGCACGAGC